AAAGCATCCAGATAGCTGCCAAAGGAGACACCTCCGTGCTAGTGAAACCTCTTGCAACTGCTCAGGGCACATTGTGGAAGAGGGGGCGTGTAAGAGCTAGTCATGAGCGGTCGAGTGTTGGGAGAGGTCACTGAGAGGACCTGATTCCCAGGAGATTTTTCATCCCCTCCCCTATCCTTGGAGTGTGTATTATTCTTGCCTTTCCCACTCCCAGAAGCTGCCCCAAGAACATAGTCATGAGATAGTGATATGGTGCTGAGGCTACCTATATGGTATAAGTGACTGAACCTAGATAAGTCCTCTATATAAACTAAGATTTGGCAAGTGGGTGCAAAGATCTACTCATCTTGTGGGTGTCAAAGACAAGCCTTATATGTCAGTTGCCTTGCTTATTGAACATACAATCTACCAACTTAGAGTTATTTGCCTTTTCCTTAGGTCTCCCTCCTCCTCCACACACAAGGATGGTTTCAGATTTCACTCAGGGAATACCCAAATAGCTTGCTAAAGGACTAAATGTGTGGTCAGAAGTAAATTTTTGTAGCTATGAATTCTAAAAAAAAGCAAACAAAAGAAATAATTCTTTGCATAGCTGAGAATTATAACAATATTTTGGATATAAATTAAACTGCTCAACATATAGTAACTGCTACAGCACAAACAATAAAAATTGATGCATTAATATAGAGTATAAGTTCATGCGAAAACAAAAACAAGTCTGGCAGTCAAGATACATGAATCAGGAGCATTTTCAAGTCATCATCTGAAGTGTAAGAGGCAAAGAAGTGCTATGGAGCATTCTGGTTGAGCCAGACATCGTCGGGTTATAGATAGTAGTCAAAACCCAAGATGAGACAGAGAGAAACAAAGCAAAATGTACAGTTAGTTATAAAAGAAACTGGTAGCAAACAGAACCCAGAAAGACATCATTCAGGGAGTACCAGCAGAATAACAGCAGTGATGAAGACCAAAGACAGATCTCAGCATTAGACAGAAAACCCAGAAAGTGGAGTGGACATGGTTATCTACACAGAATATATTTCTCCCTCTTGGCAGAGACATGCCTTCAAATGATAATCATCTTTCCTCCCCATGAAGTCATTGTGTTGTCAGAGAAATCTGTCCCAGGTACAATCTTGAGAATGGGCTTTGATTCTAACCATTTATTCCCTTCCTTGATTTTGCATTAGAATCATATGGAATTAAATAAATAAATAAATAAATAAATAAATAAATAATAGAAATAGCAAATAAATAAATAAAAATAAAATAAATAAAATAGCAAAGCCCATGGTCTGTCCCAGAGATTACATTTTACTTGGTAAATAGGAACATAGGACCTCCTCTCTCTATTTTTTAAAATATGTATTCATTAATTTTAGGCAGAGAGAGAGAGAGAGAGAGAGAGAGAGAAAGAGGGGAGGGGAAGAGGGAAAGAGATAATCTCAAGCAGACTCTCTGCTAAGCATAGAGACTGATGTAAGGCTTGATCCCATGACCCTGAGATCATGACCTGAGCCAAAACTGAGAGTCAGACACTCAACCAACTAAGTCACTGAGACACCCTGTAGGGATTCCTATATTTTTAATTTATCTTCCCTTGAGAGCTCTTAAAAAAATACCAATTTGGGACTAAGTACCAAATAAATCTATCAAAACTGAATGTGAGAATGAGATGCAAGCATTTTTTTAAAAAACAACTTTCCAAAATAATTAATAATAATAATAATAAATAAATAAAACTTTCTAGATAAATGTAATCTACAGAGAAATTTGAGAACAGCATTTCTTTTTTTAAAAATTTTTGTTTATTTATGATAGTCACACAGAGAGAGAGAGAGAGAGAGGCAGAGACACAGGCAGAGGGAGAAGCAGGCTCCATGCACTGGGAGCCCGACATGGGATTCAATCCCGGGTCTCCAGGATCACGCCCTGGGCCAAAGGCAGGCGCCAAACCGCTGCACCACCCAGGGATCCCGAGAACAGCATTTCTAAAATGGAATATTATCCCCCTTCACAGGGATTGGTTTAGAAAAGGACATATAACTTAAGCCAAAATATCACAAGAGGAAATGGCTGGTAGGTGGAGGAAAAGAAAAGTTCTGTCTCATAATAAATATCCTCTAGAGCCAGGCTGTCCAATACAGTAGCCATTAGCCACATGTGGTTATTGAAATGTGACCAGTACAACCAAGAAATGAAACTTTTAATTTTACTTAATTTTAATTAAATTTAAATTTAAAAACTGATACTCAATTTCATTATTGGAAAAATATATTTTAAGAAAAATTTTGAAATATGAATCAACCTTCTCAATTATACATTTCATACAGTATATATCAAATGTTTGTGATGGAAATTTAATGTCCAAGTCGATATATTCAATACAAATCAGATTTACAAGATTTAGCATGAAAAAGACTGTGTAAAATTTCTCAGGGGGGTGCCTAGGTGGCTCAGCAAATTAAGTGTCTACCTTCAGCTCAGGTCATGATCCTAGGGTCCTGGGATCAAGCCCCTCATTGGGCTCCCTGTTCAGCAGGGAGCCTGCTTCTTCCTCTCCTGCTCTCCCTGCTTGTGTGCACTGTCTCTCTGTCAAAAAAAGAAAATCTTTTATAAAACAGAATAAAATAATTTTTTTAAAAAAATCTCACTAATTTGTTTATGTGGATTATATGCTGGAATGAGAATATTTTAAATATATTGGGTCAAATAAAATATATTATTAAAATAAATTTTACCTGATTCTATTTACTTTTTAAGCATAATATCTAGAAAAATTTTAATTCTTTATGTGGCTTCTATTATATTTTCTGAACAGTACTGGCTGATATGAGTGAAATTAAGGCATGCTGTTGCCATAGCCTTCTAGCTACCAGCATATCACAGAATATGAAAAAGTCAGGCTGAGGACAGAAAAATGGAATGAGAACCTGGTGGAAACCTGCTGTTTTTGCAAGGCTGCAAGACGTTTTTAGTTGTTTCTCCATCCCTTCTGTATTAGTTATCTATTGACATTTAACTGCCCTGAAACCATTGATGGTTTTTAAAAAATAGGCAATTATTGTTTATAGTTTCCATGGGTTCAGAATCTAGCTGTGTCTTAGCTAGGTGCCTCTGTTTAAACGTATCACACAAGCTAAAATTAAAAATCAATCAGGGCTTTGGTCTCATCTGATGGCTTGACTAGAGAAGGATCTGCTTCTCAGATCACTCATATATTGTTGTCAGGATTCAATTTCTCATAGGTTTTTGAACGAGAGCTTCATTTCTTCACTGGCTGTTGGCCAAAGGCCTCCCTCAGTTCCTTGTCATATGGGCCCTTCCAAAGGTCAGCTCACAGCATGCCAGCTGGTTTCCTCAAGCAAGGGAGAGAAAAAAAAAAAAAGGAAGTCACCGTGTTTTTTTATTACTAATCTGAAGTGATAGTCCATTACTTTTGCCATATTTGGGTCTTTAATTTAAAGTGAGTCACCAGGGCCAGCCCGTAGTAAAGAAGACCGATTATATAAGAGCATGAATATTAGGTGAAAATAATCAGGGATCATCTTAGAGGCTGCCAAACAAACTTCTTGATGAACTCCATCCCCAGCCTCAGAGGTAAGCACTAGCCTGAAGTTTATAATTATTTATAGACAAATATTTATACTTTTACTTCAAATTAATGATTCACAAATAATATGTATTGTTTTTTTTGTATTGTTTTTTAATATGTATTGTTGTTTTATTGTGGTTTTAATATGTATCCACTTGATTATCCCCCTCAATATTACATTACATACATATATATGTGTATTATATACACATATATATGTATGTAATAGCCATGTTGATTTGACACTGGGAAATCTAGTTCAAAAAATTTACTTGCTATCTAATATTTCATTATATGAATAAGCACTAGTGGATTTATGCAGTTACTTACTAATATTTAGAGGATTTTTTCACATTTATTTTATTATAAACAGTGCTGCAAAGACATTTTTCTAAATGGTCTCTGTGCATATGTGGGAGAGTCTCTTCAGATCTGGGATTACTGGGATATAGAGAATATGCAACTTCAAATTTGTTAGATACTGCAAAGCTGCCTTCCAAAAAGAGATATTAATTTGTGGTCTTGTTAGCAAAGTATGTGAGTTCTTTTTTCAAGAGCACTTGAATTTATTGGATTTTAACTACATTTTCCCATTTTAATGGCAAAAAAAAAAAATCACATTTGTTACGGTGATAATCTGCATCTCCCTGATTAGTCGTGAGGTTGTACATACTTAAGTCATTTTTATATGTATATTTTGCCATACAAATTCCATTATCTGAGGCTTATTTTTATAGTTTGTGTCTTTTTTAATTGGTTGGTTGTCGTTTTTTTTTTTTTTTTCCTTATTTAGTTACTGGAGCTTTCCAGGTATTCTTGATTCAAAGACTTTATCTAACAGATGGTTGACAGATATATGACTTTTCTTATTTTTAAAATGTTTACATGTCAATTGATCAAAATGCTGAAATTTTAATGCATTGAATTTATTGCAATATTCATTTAATGGTTTCTGCATTTTGTATTTGCTTAAAGAAATACTCCTACCCTAAATTCACAAAGACATTCTGTGTTTTACTTTCTCTTCTTGACTCAATTATCCACTTGGAAAAGAAGTGTGTGTGGGGTTTTGTTTTTGTTTTTACCATCTGCACTCAGTCTTTCTAGGTATTTAGTAGGAGAATTTTCAGATTTGTCTCAGTCTTCTTTCTTACCTGAGCCAGAAACAGTCCATGTCAATCCATAAACTACTCTGTGATATTTTTTTCATTACTTGTGATAAAAAGCTCCTTAATGACACGAGGCAAAAATACACAGAATTCAATAATGAATAAATTTAATTCAACAATTTAAAGTGCTACAGGAAACTCAAGAAATATAAAGTGAAAATATGTTAACTTGTCATTGGTGTTAACAAATCCTGGGAGTTCTTTGCATAGAAGCCAGATGTCGAGGAGTTGAAAAGTGTTCCAGTCATCAGTGCTATTTTTTTTTATTGTTTTCACCTCTTAGTCTCCTAGAATCATGGTGAGGTTGCCCTTCCACTTCCCCATGTCACCATATGACTAGTTTTGGCCAATGAATTGTGAGAGGAAGTCAAGTGCATCTCTTTGGGATTGAATATGTCATTGTAACGACATCCAGGGCTCCTTCCCTACAGCACGGCAACCAGCGAGTTTCATGGTATGCTCATTCATCTGGATGGGTCCAGGAGTAAGGAAACCTGCATAAAGGAAAAGTGAATCTTTTTCATTATAAGCCATTGGGATTTTGGAATTTTATCACCACAGCATATCTTGATCCATCCTTATATAAATTAACACAAGAGGGATGTGAACTCATGCCCACAGCATAAGGATGGGCTAGCTTATGCTATACTGACAAATAATGGGATAACTCAGCAGCTGTAAACATCAAAGTTTCATTTTTTTTCTCATGCTACATGTCCAGCATGAGTTAACTGTAGGCTCTGCTCCACATTTTCCTCTCTCTAGGCCCTAGGCCAACAGAGCAGTCACCAGCTGGAGCACCGCCAGTCATCAGGGTAGAGGAAAAAAGTAGGTGGCAAATTGCACATGAGCTCTTTAAGCCTAATTATGACACATGTCAATTCCACACGTATTTTATTTTAGTTTGGGTTCCCTAGAAACAGCCTCTGAGCTAATGGCTCATATGAAAGTAATATAAGTAATAAGTGTTCACAATTAAAACCAGGAAGACAGTGGGGAAGTGGGACCAAAGGTAAAGGAAGCCAAGAAATGTTGCAATGTCAAGCAAAGTGTCCTGAAATTTTGGCTCCATCATCAAGATAGCTCTGGAGACTGGGCCAGTCAAATCTGAAATTATCCTGACCACGTTCACAGAACCTGCACTATTATACCCTGCTACTTGTCAGTTTCTATTTTAGGGTTTCCATTGTGGTGATACAAACTTCCAGGCTTCTGGGGCTCCTGCGGCCCATAGAGAGTCGCAGATCTGGACTTTGGCAGTGAAAACACATGAATCTTTGTGCACAAAAAGGATGACAGGTCCTAGGGGATGGGAAGGCACTGACAGCTCTGATATGCATTTCAAAGGCAAAGCACAACACACCTAAGCCTTAAGAAGGCAAGGAAGTGCAATTCTACCCCATTAGCAGAGGGAGAAAGAGCAACCACAATGAAATGAGACAAAAGAGAAAGACTCAGAACTGAAGCTTTCTTAGAGAAACATTTTTGGATGGAAACAATGAGGGCCAAATGAGGACCCAGATCATGAGTTCAAAATGAATCAATCCACACTGTTCCCCCTTCCGCTGAGCCTGTCTAGGGCTGTTGTGCTGAAGGGTGTTGTAAGGTGGAGCATGACGATGCAAGAGGGAAAATGGATTTGTGCTTTTGGCCTGTGAGTAATGAAAGTGAGTCACTGTGTGGCACCATCTTGTAAAGAAACAAGAGAAGCCAAGAGAAGGTGAAGCATAGGGAGCGTATAGGGTGTCGAGGGCTTCATTGGCCAGAGTAGAACTAATGCCATGAGAGCAAATATAGTTCCAAACTTTTGAATTCAGAGGTTCTATCATTCAGAGTGATAACAAGATTAAGTGTATGACATGAAGCTATCATCACGAAAATTATAGAATTAAGACAGGGTGTTGGGCACTTTATTCACATGTAGAACCTGACATAGGTGTTGGTTGAGATGATTAGGAGATCAGACACAGTGTTTTAATTTGGAGCATAAAATTCTGTAGTGCAAAATGCAAAGAGTTAACTGCTGAGGCATCACTGATGGAATCCTAGATTTTTAGAATTAGTGTCTAAAACTATATATTGTGACTAATACTATCTGTCCTACCTATTTAACTAGTTGCTATTACTAATGGTTACTATTTCTCTTGAGCATTAAATACAGTAATGAAAGCATCTTATCTAATATGCAAAGTTTTGGGCAAATATTATGCTGCCAACCTAGATTGTATACTCAAAGTCTCATACAACAGCATGCACATCAGAGCACATCAGAGCTGTCCAGTGTGTGCTAAATTGAACTGAGCCAATATTTGAAAATGCCAGATAGCTTCACTTTTGTTTAAATGCAGTGCGATTAGGGAAAAAGAGGTACCTGGCCTCAGATCACATGGTATTGATCAATGTTCTCCTTAGATAAACAAGAATAATTTGATGTAAATTACTATCTGTCTTTGTCTAGGAGATACAATTGAAAAGTCAGCAGGAAAACCAAATTGCAACTCCATTTAAGTAATAAGAAACAGCAGGGTATGGTATTGTTACATTAAACACCCTGAAGTGAGTTAATGTGATTATAATGTGGCTTCTTTAAACAAACCAATTATAGCATGCACAGGTAATAAATCATTATCAGTATTGGAATATGAAGCTTAATCTCATATTTCTGCTTACAGATATATAAAAATTTTAAATGCATCAATATAAAATATAAACATTCCTATTTTACTGTTTTATAGTTTGCCCAGCTAGAAATGTTTCACTACTCACCATATTTTTAATTCTTTCATTGATGAGTTTATCTTTTCATTCACTTACATAAAACCTTACCAATTAAGGCTATATACGGGATTCAAATATGATATATGCTATATATATGTGTTTTATGATTCTTTTGTTTTAAAGAGTTACATTATAACCACATTAACTCACTGGGGGATGTGGAAGGAGGGGATTCTAATGTAACAATAACCTAGCCTAATGTGTCTTAATATTTAAAAAGAGATGTCTTCAAGGAGTTTATAATCTGATAGGGGAAAGAATGTATTCAGAACAATAACTCAAATGTCAGGAATAAACCGTTTTAAGCTCCACAGAGAGAGCTGGAACGTATGCATGGAGATTTAGGGGAGCGAGAAGTAGCTTCTTTGGAAAAAGGAGAGACAGTTTCTAGAGAAGAGAATATTTTGAATTAACCATGAAGGATAAGTAAAATTTCTTAATGAGAAGTGTTGTGCAGCGAGGGAGAAAGAGTATAGAATTGAGATCATGCTGAATAAGTTCATTAAGCAATGGGCTTTAAATTAGTGTTTGTTCTTTTTTTATGGTTCTATGATATTTTATGGTTCTTTAAATTATTTTTTTTGACTAAAATAAAATGGAATCATCCTCACATACTCTATGAGTATGTGCAGATATATATTTCAAGCAATTCTTCAAGAAAAATATCAGTTCTTCACTAAGCATTGACTATGTCCATATGCAGCAGAAAGAGATCCGGGTGACCTGACCTAGCATATCTGTCGGGGAAAGGAGAGAAGAAGCGGGTTTATCATTTATTCGAAGATAAAACTGACCAGCTTTGCTGATGGAGTGGAAGAAGGTAAGAGGAAAAGTCAAAAATAGCTATAAGATTTTAACTTTATCAAGTGAATGGATGGTGCTACTATTTATTAAGGAGGACAGGGACAGAGATCAAGCTTTGTAGGCCTGTTTCACCCAAGACCTTTCTCTTATTTTAAAAATGCTATAATGAATGTTTCCCTGCATAGAAAGTTTTCCATAGTTAGGGGGCTATGGACTTGAATGGGTCTGTCTTTTTACCTCTAGTGAAGTAGGAACGGAAGTGAGCTAGTTCTTACAGCTTCTCTGCCATTCAAACAATCCTTCTTTCTCCAGTCTCCGTGTCATTCCTGCATTAGCAATGAGACAGGTCAATGTGCACCCTTTCTCAGTATATATTGCAGCACATAAAAAGATATTGGCCAAATTTCTTAGAAATCCCTTCCTTCAGATCTGAGTAGTGAGGTCAGCCATGGCTTCCTTTCTTTATATTTCTATAGGGAATGATACCTTCTTCACTAAGTTTTTCTGATAAAAGGTGACTTTCTTTCTCTCACCAATTATCAAACCAGTTTGGTCACCCTTACACCTAAGAAGAAACTGGCACTCTCATTTTAAGAAATCAGCCTTGGTGAATTTAATAATTTTGTTTTCCCCGTGATGCTTGCTATATTGTAAACTCTGTACTATTCAATAATCTCTAAGAGAAGGAAAATATTTGTTATAGAATGGACTGGGTTTATTTCTCTGCTTTTAGAAAAAAGCAAATATCTCTGTTCAAAAGTTTACTTCATTAATTATTATTTACTAGCTACAATAATCACTCTAGACTACAGAGTAGCAAATTATACTACTTCCTCTTTTAAAGATTGCTAGATCCATTGCTGTAGGCATAGCCTCCAGCTCCATTTACTCTCACATATTTAGAATTGATTATCATATCACCTTTGGCTATTATTTTCTATGTACACACATACATACACCAAAAACAAAACTTATTACTGGTTTAATTGAAGAAATCCAACTTGGTGAGATTATTTTTCCACTAACTGCTACCAAGTGTGTTCTTTGGATTCTCTTTGGAATCACCTTTTCCTATGGGTTGTGATTTCTCATTTACAATATATCAATTTAATTGCATAACTTTTCAGTTTTATTAAGAAGTTTGAACTTATACTAGTTCATTCTAATACCAGTAGAAAGTTATTTATGAGTATTAAGCTAAGTAGTATTATAACATATTTAATGCATTGGAAAATTACTCTGAGTCGATAATGGAGAAAGACCTACCTAGAAACATGGAAAAATGTTAGTTAAGAGATTTTTAAGTCATCACAGGGAGAGAGAATACCGTTATTTGATTTAATAATGTGCCAGAGAAAATGAAGATAAGTGGAAGGCTTTAAAATATAATTTTGAAGTAGGATCAACAGGAATTCAGGAATGTCTATGGTGTAAAGTGAGGGAAAGAGAGACACAAGGATGGTGCTGGGTTTCTTTGACAGCAGCCCAGATGATAATAATATTATCTGGGGCAGGATGTACACAAGGAGAACTGAGGGACAAACAGTTACCAGTTTTAATCATGTTGGACCTGAGCTAACTGTGATATATATAGTATTATTCAATCGGATATGAGTCTGAAGCTCATGAAAGAAATGGTGTCTGGCTCTCTTAAAAAAGGAATCATCAGAATTGATGGAAATTGAGTTATGAGAGGACGTATAAACTCTAATATTATAAGATGAGAGACAGAAGAGTGTTCTACAAGAAACCAGATAAACTGCAACAAGATAGAAAGAGGTAAACTCTGGATGTATGGTGACAGGGAGGTTCTGTTAAGTGTATTTCCAGAAGGAAGGATATAAGTAAAATGCATCGGGGATTTGATAAAACTAAAAGTGTCCATTGTATTTCTCAAAAAAAAAAATTGCAATATCATAGCACAAGTTTCAGGGAAAAAGTGAGAACTGAAGCTAAAAAACAGTCAATTGTGGCATGAATGGCAGTGGAAACATAGGGACACAAGGAAGTAAAAATTTTGAAAGGTTTGGAGAGGGCTAGAATAGATGAGACCAAACAAAATGGTGAATATCAGGGATATGAGTATTTATGTGAGCATTTATAAGAATATTTATATGAGCATTTATAAGAAGACTAGAGTGGAGAGAGAACTTGAAGATACAGAGCATAGATGGGGAACAGGTAGTGTGGTTCCTTAGGAGCAGATGGTAGTCAATTTTGGTGGCCTTGTGCAAGGATTACCTTTAGTGTTGGAAAAACCATTTCTATTCCATTTTAGAGGAGAGTTGTAAAAAGAGCGAGATGAGTGAAATTATAGGCAACTGTTCAGGTCCAGTACCTGAATTGTGGAAGAGAGCACATCTGACAATCCTTGTTGTATGTAAACCAGTAAGTCATCTCCAGACACTGACAAAGAGTGCTAGCAGTATCGGAGATTTAAGACAAGTGAGGAAGAAAAGGAGAGGGAGCGAAGACAAATAGAGAGATTTCTAGACTGCTTAGCGGACCGAATTAAGGTTAAATAGTAGCATGGATTTAGAAAGGAAACTATCCACACAGTAGATTAGTGTTTTCTCTCCTCTCTTTACCTCGAAGTGAAAGGTAACCTAGTTATTGGTTTATTAGCAGGTTCAATTGATTTGGCATTGGAAATTGCCCAGGTGGTGCTTCAAACAGCAAAGGAGAAGGATATTGGCCAGAGGTGAACATAAAAAAATCAGAGATCAGATTTTACTTGTTAAGTAATAAAAATGCCATGTTATTGCACAAGGTATTGTTGGTTTTATAAATATAAAATGATACCTAAACTTCCCTCTAAGATGTGATCTAATTTTGCTCTCCTAATCTTCATAAGTTTTTTTTTAATTTATTTTTTATTTTTTATTTTTTTTTATTTATTTATGATAGTCACACACAGAGAGAGAGAGGCAGAGACACAGGCAGAGGGAGAAGCAGGCACCATGCACCGGGAGCCCGATGTGGGATTCGATCCCGGGTCTCCAGGATCGCGCCCTGGGCCAAAGGCAGGCGCCAAACCGCTGCGCCACCCAGGGATCCCCATAAGTTTTTAAAAATATCACAGCATACGTATATTTTGCCCTAAAGTCACGTAAAAGCCTTACTGTTTGGCCTAAATTGACGATTACTTAAAGATAAGTTTTGTAAATGTCTAATGATTTTTCTTTGACAAGATACTAAGGGTTATATCGTTATATTTTTTGTGCTGTATTTGAAATAAAATAAATTTTGGAATATATGAACATTCATGCACAACTTTTTTTGCCTAGCATTTCTACCGTATCAAGTGTGATTAAATCTCTATCTATATTCTGGGATAAAATAATAATTATTTAAACATCTGCCACTTCCCAGAAATAATTACAATTTGCTTAGAGTAGATTAGTTTAGCAAAGTTTAAAAATCCATGTTACCTTTGAAAGTGGATGGTTCTTGATATGCATGTATATCTAACACACACAAATAATTATTCTGTCAAATAACTATGTCAAACCATAATTGCCTTATAAAAACAAAGTGAGATGTCTTTTTAAAAAAATCTCTAAGTCTGGCCTTTGTTTTTTTTTTTTTTTTTTTTTAATTTTTATTTATTTATGATAGTCACATAGAATGAGAGAGAGAGAGGCAGAGACACAGGCAGAGGGAGAAGCAGGCTCCATGCACCGGGAGCCCGACGTGGGATTCGATCCCGGGTCTCCAGGATCGCGCCCTGGGCCAAAGGCAGGCGCCAAACCGCTGCGCCACCCAGGGATCCCAAGTCTGGCCTTTTGTAATGCTAAGTGAGGAGCTGGTCCTTCCCTTTGATATGTAAAAGTTGATTTGAAGCTAAGCTTGGGTATAATGATTAGACAGAGCTGGATCCCCCAGCCAACAAAGTGAAAAGAATTTATACACTTTATAGTTCCAAGGAACAAGATCTATGAAATCTGACATACCTTTACCATTGAAGTAGTAGTAGCCAGAATGACATTAAGAGGGGGAATATGTAATCTAATAAACTTTTAATAAATTTTTCACCAAAAAATATAGAAATGAAAAACTATAGAAATGAAAATATACAACTAAATTAATTTTCAAAGGACAAAAGTGTAACCAGCACCCTTGCTGGTTAGAACAATTACCAGTATCATTGAGCCCTTTCCTGGCGCTTCTAATCACTGTTCCCCATCAGAAATAACCACCGAGCTGAGTCCTAGCATAATGATGGATTTGATTATTTTGATTTTGAAGTTTTTATAAATGGTATCAGTCAGTATAAAAGTCCTCTGTGTCTCATATCCTTTGTCCATGTGGTTATGTGTAGTTTGCTTAATAGTTCCACAGTGGGGTTTCTTAATGTTGCACTATTCACATTTGGGGCCAGATGTTACTTTGTCATGCGAGAATGTCCTATGCAAGGCAAGATATTTAACAGCATCTCTGACATCTAACCACTAGATGCCAATAAGACTCCCTGAAGTGTGACCACTGAAAGTGTCTCTAGACATTGTCAAGCACCCCAAAATAATAATTGCCTCTAAACCAGAACCACTGCCTTATAGAATTCAATTGAATATACCAAAAATAGTTAATAATTTTACGACTGATCAACATTTGAGTTGTTTCCTTTATTTTATGTGTTGTTTTGAACATTCTAGTATGTGACTTACATTAACCATATGCAAATCTGTTGGGTATACACATAGGGAGGAATCACTGGGTCAAGAGGCATGCTTTAGTAGGTATGTTAGTTTTCCAGAGGTGGTTGTGCCAATTGATTCTCTCAAAAGTAAATGAGGGTTAGAGTTGCTACACAACATTTGGAATTCTTGGCCTAATTAGCACTTCTGGTAAGTATGAAGTGTTATCTTGTGTTTTTTTTTTTTTTTGTAGTTTCCTGTCAGTAATTAAATGGAGTGTTTTTTCATATGTTGAATGGATATTTGGATCGTGAAGTACACATTTAAGACTACTGTAGATTTTTTTTTTTAAGATTTTATTTATTTACATGAGCGACACAGAGAGAAAGGCAGAGACACAGGCAGAGAGAGAAGCAGGCTCCGTGCAGGAAGCCCGACGCCAGACTCGATCCTGGGATCAGGCCCTGGGCCAAAGGCAGACATTAAACCGCTGAGCCATCCAGGCATCCCCCTGTAGATTTTTTTATTGGTTTGATCATCTCTTCCTTACAAATATGTGACAGTTTATATATATATATATATATATATATATATATATATATATATATATGCTAGATACAAATCCACTGTTGGATATAGTTATGGCAAAAATCTTCTACTAATGTGTGACTTACCTTTTCACTTTCTTAATAGTGTTTTTTAATGACCAGAAATGTATAATCTTGATGCAGTTCAATCTATGATATTTTCTCTTTATGATAAGTATTTTTCATGTCCAAGTAACTGTATTTTGTTGACTGTAGATATTGTCATATGTTTTCTTCTAGGACATCTATTATTTTAATTTCTTATTTAGAAGCACAATTCAGGGATCCCTGGGTGGCGCAGCAGTTTGGCGCCTGCCTTTGGCCCAGGCACGATCCTGGAGACCCGGGATCGAATCCCACGTCGGGCTCCAGGTGCATGGAGCCTGCTTCTCCCTCTGCCTGTGTCTCTGCCTCTCTCTCTCTCTCTGTGTGACTATCATAAATAAATAAAAATTTAAAAAAAACAGAAGCACAATTCATCTGGAATTAATATATAGCATGAGATAGAGATAAAATTTATTTGTTCTATACTGATGTTCAAATAATAGAATACTATTTATTAAAAGACCACTCTACTCCTATTGCAATTCAGATTTATGCAATTCACTATGTTAGTATTCATGTTATAAACCAGGTGATCACTTAAGTGTGGGTCTGACTTTTGGTTTATGTTCCATTGGTCCATTTGTCTATTTTTTTTCTGATATCACACTGTCATAATTGCTGTAGTTTTATAGAAAGGTATGATATCTAGTCAAGTTCTTCAGGTTTGTTTTTTATTAACATCATCTTGACTCTTTATATTTCCACAAGAATTTTAGAAGCACCTTTTAAATTTCTGTTAAATGAGACCTCTGGATGTAACTCTTGATTTTGGCTAGGGCCATGATCTCAAGGTCATATTCTCAGGGCAGTGAGATTGAGTCCTGCTTCAAGCTCTGCAACGAGCATGGAGCCCACTTAAGATTCTCTTTCTCCCTCTCCCTCTACCCCTTCCTGCCTCTCTCTCTCATAAATAAATAAATAAATAAATAAATAAATAAATAAATAAGAAAGAAAGAAAATTTCTGTTAAAACTGCTAAGAATTTGCTAGATAATATGTTGCCCATCTCATACCTGGAAAAATACTCACACTTCCAAGGAAATGGCCAATCATCTTCCCACAATTTCTACCTACAAAAATGAAGGAAAATCTTGTGAATTGTAAAACTGGAGCATTTTTTTTAAAGAAAATATCTCTATTAAGATATAATGATATGCAAAAAACTGCACATATTTAATATATACAATTTGATAAGTTTGCTCATATGCATACACTTGTGAAACTTAAAGAATAATCAAAGTGATAAATATCTATCACCTCCAAAAGTTTTCCTATACTCTCCATTTTTTTGTGGTAAGAACATGTAACATGAAATCTTCTCCCTTAATTTTTTTATGTGCACAGTATATTGTTAACTGAAGATACCATGCTGTACGGTATATCTCTAGAACTTATTCATCTTGCATAATTTATATTTTATGCCCACTGAGTAACAACTCTCCATTTTACCTTGCCCCTAGACTCTGGCAACCAACACTCTACTCTCTGATTCTATGAGTTTGACTATTTTAGATACCCCATTTAAGTGGTATCATATAGTGTTTATTCTTCTGTGACTGGCTTAGTTCACTCAGCATTAAGTTCTCAAGGGTCGTCCATATTGTTACATATGACAGGATTTCCTTCTTTTTATGTTTATATTTTATTGTATGTGTATACCACATTTTCTTTATCCATTTATCTATTGATAGACATTTTAGTTGTTTGCTTATCATGGCTATTGTGAATAATGCTTCAATGAACATGAAAGTGCAACTATTCTTCAAAATCTTAATTTCCATTCTTTTGGAATATACCACATGAGATTATATGTATATACCATGTGAGATTACTGGATCATACAGTACTTTCGTTGATGCAGAATTTTATATTCCCACCATTAGTGTATCAGGGTTCCAATTTCTCCACATTCTTACCAATATCTGTTATCTTTTTTAAAAGTAATCATCATGAGGTGATATCTTATTGTAGTTTCAATTTTCATTTCATTCATGATTAGTGATGTGAATATCTTTTCACATACTCATTGGTCATTTGTATGCCTTGGCCAATGGAACAGAATGGAAAGCCAAGAAATTAACCCATATGTACACAGTAAACTGATCTTCAACAGGTTTACCAAGAACACACAACGACGAGTGGATAGGCTCTTCAGTAAGTGGTGTTGTGAAAAATGAATATTCACATACAAAAAAATCAAAACAAAAGAAATTGGACCCTTGTCTTACATTCCAAAATGGATTAGAAATTTAGACAGAAGACCTAACACTGTAAAACTCCTAAAAGAGAACATAGAAGAAAACCTTCTTGACATTGATTTGGGAATGATTTCTTGGATATGACACCAGAGCACAGACCACAAAAGCAAAATAAGCTAGTGGGACTATATAAATTAAAAAGGTTCTGCATAACAAAGAAAACAATGAACATAGTCTCCTTAGCATGCTAGATTTAGGGTCCTAAACTTTTTGCTTATCAGCTCAAGATTCTTTAGACACGTTTTCTGAGAGACAGCCAGGAAGAAAATCTATAGACTATCTGTCCTACATGAATAGGCATGGCATCACATCTACCATAATTTGTTGGTTTTATATTAGTTTCCTAGGGCTTCCATATCAAAGTACCATAAACTGGATAGCTTAAAAGGATAGAAATTTGTTTTTTCAAAGTTTTGGGGGGCCAGAAATCCAAAGTCAAGGTGTTAGCAGTGACATCCTTCCTCTGAAACCTGAATCCTTCCTTGCCTCTTCCTGTCTTTTGTTGGTTTTCACACTCTTTGGTGTTCCTTGACTTATAGATGTATCTTTTCAATCCTCTATCTTCACATGGTATTTTCCTTGTGTGTATGTGCTTCCACATGGATCTTCTTATAAGGACACCAGTCACATTGGATTAGAGGCCCACACCAGTATGATCTCATCTTAACCAATTACATCCACAGTGATCCTATTTTAAATCAGGTTACCTTCTGAGGTACTGGAGGTTAAGACGTCAATAAATCTTTATTTTTTTGGTTGGGGGGAGCACAATTCAACCTGGAACAGTTGTGACAGTCACAAAAATCTGCTCTGCTTTAAGAGGAAGAGACACAGACTTCAGCTTTTAGGGGAGAAATGGCAAATATTGGTGCTGAAGTGGTCATGGATGACTTTGGCCAGAGGACCCAAGCAGTTGGTGGTGCAGAAGGCATTGCTGACAATCTTGAGGGAGTTATCTTACTTCTCATGGTTCACGCCCTTCACAAACATGGGGGGCATCAGCAGAAGGAGCAGAGATGATGACCCTCCTGGCCCCGCCCTTCAAGTGAGCCCAGTCTTCTTCATGGAGAAGACCCCAGCAGACAGCACAGCATACTCAGCACTAGCAACACCCCATTTGATGTTGGCAGGATTTCACTCCTGGAAGATGGAGATGGACTTCCCATTGATGACAAGTTTCCCATCTCAGCTTTGATTGTGCCGTGTAATTTGCCATGGGTAGAATCATACTGGAACATGTACAACATGTAGTTGAGTTCAATGAAAGGGTCATTGATGGTGACAATATCCACTTTGTCAGAGTTAAAAGCAGCCCTGGTGACCTGATGCCCAATATGGTCAAATCTGTTTACTCCAACCTTCACCATCGTGTCTTGGGGATGTGACTGGCACTGCACCAGAAGATGCATTGTCTGTCAAACAGGAAGGAGCAGAGAACTTCAAAGTTTTCTATTAGCTATTGCTCCATTAGTGTTTTGATATTTAAATGTTTTGTTTCCCATTGATGACAAGTTTCCCGTTCTGTCTTGACTGTACCGTGGAATTAGCCGTGGGTAGAATCATACTGGAACATGTACACCATGTAGTTGAGGTCATGAAGGGGTCATTGATGGTGATAATATCCACTTTGTCAGAGTTAAAAGCATTTAGCATTTATATGATTTAGGCATTTATATGATTTTTAATCATAGGCATTAATTTAGACATTTATATGATTTTTATCTCAGTAATTAAGCTACCTTTGTTTTCTCAGAAAATTAAAGGCTATTTTTTTTTTCTTTATTTATGATAGTCACAGAGAGAGAGAGAGAGAGAGGCAGAGACATAGGCTGAGGGAGAAGCAGGCTCCATGCACCGGGAGCCCGACATGGGATTCAATCCCGGGTCTCCAGGATCGCGCCCTGGGCCAAAGGCTGGCGCTAAACCGCTGCGCCACCCAGGGATCCCCCTTAAAGGCTATTTTTAATTTAATTTTTTTTCAGGGCAGTCCTGGTGGCTCAGAGGTTTAGCGCTGCCTTCAGCCCATGGTGTGATCCTGGAGTCCTGGGATCAAGTCCTACGTCAGGCTCCCTGCTTGGAGCCTGCTTCTCCCTCTGCCTGTGTCTCTGCCTCTCTTTCTCTCTCTCTCTCTCTCTCTCTCTCTCTCTCTCTCTCTCTGTGTCTCTGGTGAATAAATAAATAAAATACTTTTTTTAAAAAAAAATAATTTTTTTTTTAAAGAATCTGGTTTTTATAAGTTTAAGTTTTTCAGTTGTGTCAGCATTTTGGTCTTTGGATGACTTTCTTTTTCTATCAGGAAATTTTTTATATTTTCTTATTTTCATTTAGATTTCATTGATTTCACTTCAATTAGCAGATAATGTTTATTATTTGTGTTTTGTTAATGCATCATGTACATTCATGTGTGTTGGGGTTTGCCTCCTTTAGGAGCTATTATTACTTGAATCTGAACATCTATATTTTTTCATCCATAGCAATTATATTCCTTCCTGTTCTTTTTGCTTCTTTAACTGAATTTTTCACAATTTTCTCCCTTCGATTTGTTTGCTTTATTGAGTGTCACTTTTACTATTTATTGCCTCCAATGGTTTTTAAAACTTTTTTTTAGATTTCTCATACTTCTAGCAATTTCTTTTGCATCTTAGCTTCATTGCTCTGTGAATATAAGAATCTTTGCCATTGCATAAATAAATTGAACCTTGGAAAGATCAATAAGTTTCTGATATTTTATTTATGATAATATGTGATAAAGTATCCTCAGGACCACTCAGAAATAAGAAATCCTATTAATTTCAGCCATTTGCTGATTTTTCTTCACAATGAGAATAAAGAAATTAATAATGTAACAAGCATTTTTATCAAGGTAGGTTAAATCCATGATGTGTAAAATCTTAAACAATGTGAAATATTTTAATTGTTTGCACTGAGAATGAATGGATAACTTATTCCAATTCTAATTTAACTATATGATTTCTTGTCCTATTTAGAGAGATCTTTAAACTAGCTCTAATTAGTCTTTGCCATGGTCAGGGGTTTAACATAATTACATTATGAGTGGACATTATAATTTTACCACACATATCAGAAACTAGGAAATGCTGGGGGAGAAATGATAAGAATACCCTTCTCCTTGCAACAGCAATAGCCCAGAAATTTCCTGTGGATATCCACCAATATCCTAAAAGCAAGCCTCTGTCATTTGTCTTCAATGGCTGCAAACAATGCTAACTCTGGTATAAAGATGTCTTGATATATTTGAATTGAGCTTTAATTCATAGGGACTTAAAAGAGTCACTTTGAGTTTAATTCATAGGACCTCAGGATATGTTTGAGTTATTTGAGAATTTAATGCATGGGAACTTAAAAGAAATGTAAAACCCTGACCATTTTCTTTAACCATTAAATCTGTATCTCAATGTGATAAAAAAGAGGTTAGAAAACTGTTCAGCCCATAAAGGGAAAGTGTCCCTAATCTGGGTAGATGATAAAATATCTTGGAAATCCGAAAATCAATTAAATTAAAATATTTAGGAACCTCAAGCTAAGGAAGATTACCTAAATCTTGCCATGATTATTACCAGATAGAAACTAATTTATTTAATAATAATTTTTTTTATTTTATTTATTTTATTTATGATAGTCACAGAGAGAGAGAGAGAGAGGCAGAGACACAGGCAGAGGGAGAAGCAGGCTCCATGCACCGGGAGCCCCACGTGGGATTCGATCCCGGGTCTCCAGGATCGCGCCCTGGGCCAAAGGCAGGCGCCAAACCGCTGTGCCACCCAGGGATCCCCTAATAATAATTTTT